GCCACCAGCAGTGGAGAGAGCTTCAGCAAGGCCACCATAATGTTGGAGAGACGTATTAGCAGCATTCACAATAGCATCAACAGGGAAATTCGTGAGATCAGCCTTCCACACCGACACCGTAACACCTGAAGGCAGCTTAACATCAAACCTTTTCTCTCGGGCAACATTTGGCTTTTTCTGCTGTGCAGCGCTCAGATCGCTTTCAAAATCCACACCATCGAAGGTGGGCACACATCTGAATTTGCTTTCAAGTACTTTACACAGAGTGGGTCCACACTGTCTCACAATTTTAAGTGAAGATCCATAAAGACGAATATCCACTGAGTTGGCCATGCTTCCTAAACAGAGCTATGGAAAAACTTTGTGTAAGTAAATCATCCAATGTGTCTGTTTAATATATCTGACACTCAAACACAACAAATACCCCTGATGGGACTATGGATCAAAGCAAGATTTGATTATTAATAATAAACAGCATACCACCACTTTTTAAATTAGGCTACACTGTTCCATATATAAAGATTATTCCCTTTGGAGACCTGTGGCTTATATTTGACTGGCTGAGAATTTAGAATAATTTTGTGTTTTCAATCTGAAAGACCCTGCTACTTAAACAATAACCTGCAGGTGACCCAGGTCATTTCACACACATTAGTGCCAATGTTCTTTCACTCCAACAGAGGGAGACAGAGGCTGTATCCAATACACAAGGTCATGCTACACAATATCTGTCTCCTAAACACACCAGCTGGATGGATACTGCTTGGCGGTTCATAATATTAATATAAGACCTGGCCAAAATGAAATGTTTTCAGATACTACTTCCTGCATTTGCCTCATTGTTTTGTACATTTTTACAACTATGAGTTGCTCCTCAATGACTTTGTACAATTCAAGATTTGTTTTTCTATGAGCACAATGAAATCTTTACTTATAACGACATAATCTCCTTTTATAAGACCACTGCGCCACTTAAAACATAAGAACATTTAATTGGTAAAAACAGATAAACAGCCTATATAGCTGACACTCTTAGTGTCTGACTGTTTCTACCTTTATTCTGACTTTCATTTTTATTCAGTGTACTAATTCATTAAACCACCATTTCCTTATACAACGCACAGCATAGTGCGCTAAACCTACGCTGGTTTGTTCGTTTTGAGTAGGCTATAGTGCCACCAGCAGTGGAGAGAGCTTCAGCAAGGCCACCATAATGTTGGAGAGACGTATTAGCAGCGTTCACAACAGCATCAACAGGGAAATTCGTGAGATCAGCCTTCCACACCGACACCGTAACGCCTGAAGGCAGCTTAACATCAAACCTTTTCTCTGAGTCAACAGCTGGCTTTTTCTGCTGTGCAGCGCTCAGATCGCTTTCAAAATCCACACCATCGAAGGTGGGCACACATCTGAATTTGCTTTCAAGTACTTTACACAGAGTGGGTCCACACTGTCTCACAATTTTAAGTGAAGATCCATAAAGACGAATATCCACTGAGTTGGCCATGCTTCCTAAACAGAGCTATGGAAAAACTTTGTGTAAGTAAATCATCCAATGTGTCTGTTTAATATATCTGACACTCAAACACAACAAATACCCCTGATGGGACTATGGATCAAAGCAAGATTTGATTATTAATAATAAACAGCATACCACCACTTTTTAAATTAGGCTACACTGTTCCATATATAAAGATTATTCCCTTTGGAGACCTGTGGCTTATATTTGACTGGCTGAGAATTTAGAATAATTTTGTGTTTTCAATCTGAAAGACCCTGCTACTTAAACAATAACCTGCAGGTGACCCAGGTCATTTCACACACATTAGTGCCAATGTTCTTTCACTCCAACAGAGGGAGACAGAGGCTGTATCCAATACACAAGGTCATGCTACACAATATCTGTCTCCTAAACACACCAGCTGGATGGATACTGCTTGGCGGTTCATAATATTAATATAAGACCTGGCCAAAATTAAATGTTTTCAGATACTACTTCCTGCATTTGCCTCATTGTTTTGTACATTTTTACAACTATGAGTTGCTCCTCAATGACTTTGTACAATTCAAGATTTGTTTTTCTATGAGCACAATGAAATCTTTACTTATAACGACATAATCTCCTTTTATAAGACCACTGCGCCACTTAAAACATAAGAACATTTAATTGGTAAAAACAGATAAACAGCCTATATAGCTGACACTCTTAGTGTCTGACTGTTTCTACCTTTATTCTGACTTTCATTTTTATTCAGTGTACTAATTCATTAAACCACCATTTTCTTATACAACGCACAGCATAGTGTGCTAAACCTACGCTGGTTTGATCGTTTTGAGTAGACTATAGTGTGCTTCTCAACACAATTGAGCAAATATGTCTAAAGTTTAAAAGAGAAGATAAAGTCTGTCGTGCTCAGAGTGAATACTCACCCGGTTGGAGCTGGAAACTACCGAGGAAAAGTAGAAAGTGAAAGCACAATGTTGGGTGCGGACCTTAACAAACACCTCCCCGGGACACTAAGCCAAGTTTGGCACAAATTCGAGCGGACCTTTCTTTCATATGATCCCTAAATATAAGTCCTGCCTTCAGTTCCAGTACATTTTGCGTCAACGCTTCGTGAGTAAACTCGACAACGTCGGAAATCAACTCCCTTTGCATTTCCTAAGAAACAAAAGTGAAAGTAACGCGGGGCAGACGCTGCTGGGTTAGCAGAGATGGCTGGCGAGTATTCGTATCCTCTGTTGGTCGAACTGGAAAAGACGAATATAACAAAAATAAAAATTAAGTTGGTGAAGTACTTTCAGAGTAAGAAGTCTAACGGTGGAGACTGTGAGGTTGACTATGAAAATGGCAGCGGGACAGCGGTGCTGCGCTTCCGCACAGAGGAAGGTGAGTTTGGTCCGATCACTGACAAAACAAAAGTAGCTTTACCTTCATTATCTGATCTCTACTGTTTGTTGCTGAATGTTGTTTTCTCGCTCAGAGACCAGCAAAATGTTTTGAAGAAAGAGGCGCATCAGATCATTGTGGATAAAGAGGGTCTGCACATGACGGTTCGCCTTCTTCCAGATACAGCTCAAGAAAAAAAATCAGTATCATCCAGCAGATACTGTGCTTTGTGTTCGGATGTGATGTCTGGAAGCTTTTATACCACATATATGTTTATAATGTATGAAGTGTTGCCTGGCCTAGGCCTGTATGAGCCTCCAGTCATGGCCTTAACATTCACTTTCTGTTCTAGTTAAATAATGATTTCCAACTCTTCCTTGTAGATGGGGATCCTCATCACACTGTAGGTTGGGGGGTTTAGTTAGACAAGCTGTGAAAGAGTATTAAAAATAGAAAAAACTAAAAAGATTGCCCCAGCTTACATCTCATTGGACTAGTCCTGTGAGTCACCATAGACCCAATCATACCTGGTCCAGCATACTGCCAAATCTTCTCAGTTCTGCTGTGTGGACAACACGGTGGTCTAAACCAGAAGTACACAACACAGAAGAAAATACTGCTGACTTGTCTAGCTGGATTCCTTTTTAAACCACCACAATGTTTAAGTAAGCTGACTAATATCATTTGTGTTTATTCTGTACAGGAGGCTCCGCCTGATACACTCGACCAGACGTGTAAGTATTCAGTAAAACAAGTTTTGGTAAATAAAATACTGATATTTTATTTACAGCTTGCTGTGCTGCCCTTAATTGTCCAAAGAACAAAAATACACTTAAGTAAAGAGAACATGACGTGGCAGAGGAGTCATTTGAAGGAAATTTTGAGTTATTTTAGTTTCTCTCTCTCTCTTTGACCATTATGCTTACAATATTTGCAGATGGAAGATGGCAACACTTATTGTACATATAGTCAAGCATCAATTTTTTTTCTAGGGCATAGAATTCTCCCCGTTTTATGATTATAAGAATCAGCTTTACTGACCAGGTGTGTTGGACACATGAGGAATGTGACTGTGGTACGTGCGGGCTCTCAGTGTGTATGTACAGTGTTCTTCTATAAGGCAACGAATAGCCAAGACTGAGAGAACAAGAAAAGAAAAAGGAATGTGCATTAGAGAAATAAAAATAAAGTTCTTGTATAGATACTATATATACAAAGGTATATTTACAGGTTTTGCAGTGATGGTTGTTGTTCTCTTATACAGTCATGGGTTAACTGTTCCTGAGAGTGATGGTACAAGTAGAGAAACTGTATTTATGTCTGGTTGTTTTGATG